GACAAAGACACATTCACATTAGATTGGTTAAGGTATCTATGTATAGCAGAACACTTCCAGTCTTTCTTGTGGAGTTCAACAATTTTTAATTTATCCAAGTGTGGTATACGAGTAGCAGGCATTTTTATGAATTGAGCTACTGGTTTCTTGGGTTTTATGGAGGAATCGACTACGACAATACACATGAACAGATATGCAAAAAATATACATGCGCACACGTGTCATCATATTTATATATTCAAATGGTTTCAGTCTAATTAACAAGTGACATGTCAATGTGCCGTGTCTATTCCATGGTGTGACAAATTAAGAAATGGCTGAGGTCAGACACAAAGTTACTGCTAAGTGTTAGAGTTCTTATCAGTAAATTAATTAACCCAAGTCTCTTAATTTCATGTTCAGCTTAGAAAACAAGCGAGTACTTTGGAAAATATTTTAAAATTAAAACTCGCAGCCATTTTCCATAATAGCAATGTAGTACAGATTTATATAGTGCATCTGAGACAAGCAGTTCAAACTTATTTGTCTTTTTTTTCATCTGATGTCATTATTAAATATTAAAAGTCCAATTCTTTAACCCTCAAAATATTGAAGTGTTGTTGAATGAATAAAAATAAATATATTTTATTCTCTTGTCTTTTCAGAAAATGGCATCAGTTATCCGTCGAACGACGCTAGAAAGTTTCAGTTCCAATGACCCACGTGATCTGTCAATTTCTAATGTATCCTCGAGCTCCTATTCAACTAGCTCAACACCAGAATCAGTCTTCCAGGCATCATCAAGAATACCAGTGCCCGTACGTGTAACAGTACCCCGAGATGTCGAATCGCCCTCTACGTCTGAAGAACAGTCCCTCCTGCAAGCCCTGCCAGATTTACAAGATTGTGAAATTACATGTAGGCAGCTTTTTAGGACACCTAATAGGAACAGGCAGAAAACACTCTCAGCAGTAGAAAGGTACATGAAGACAATGAATAAAAAGCAGCATGAACTACAACTAGAAGTCAAGGGACTGCGACAAGAATTAAAGGATATGAATAATCTTGTTTTGTTGATACTACAGAGACTCCCCCCTCATGGCGAGGGACAAGATCAGCAGATACCACCAGTACCTAGTCCCCAGCCCGCCACACAGACGCTGCCAACGCCTGAAACTGACACATCAAAATTTGGTGATATCCCACCGGAATTTCGTATTTCTGCTGAAGATCTGAACGCCATGCACCTCCATGCTTTTAATGCCGGCCATTTCGCAACTAAAATAGTACAAAGACTTTTTCCGGAACTGACCGGACCCGACAACTTACGGCAGAAATATTCGTATTTCGGTGGGGGTAGATGCAATAAGCTAGAACTCGATACACGACGGAAATCATTCGTCGTAAGATATGTTTTACATCATTATCCTCAAGTGCAAGAAAAACATGCCTGGCAAGAGCGCGTGGTCGTAAAGATTAACGAATTTCTAAGACGAAAATGAATTTTATGTGTGTATAGACAAAATAATTTTTAAATAGAAAAAAACAAACATTTTATGTGTGTGTGTAGACAAAATATTTTTTAAAAAGAAGAAAAAAAAGGTGTTTGCGATGGATTTGAATACATTGTTTACCAAGTGTCAAGACTTTATGTGAGTAAATACATGTACTAACTGCAATAAAAAATGAATTCACTTTTAGTGCATGTATGATTATTAAATTTTGACTGTAAAATATTATGATTTGTATACATTGTGCATATGTATTACATGTACATGTTTAACCTAATTTCGATTTTCAATAAAAATCATGTCAATGGAACCAAAAGAATATATTGTATGATTATTTAATTTTGACTGTAAAATATTATGATTTGTATACGTTGTACATTTGTATTACATGATTAACTTACTTTCGATTTTCAATAAAAATCATGACAATGGAACCAAAAGAATAAAATGCTACCCAAAACATCTCTTTAATTGTCGGTTATGGATTTATTATGCAATATCGATGCAGGTTCAATCACGAAACTTGCGCTTACACCGTCTAGTATAGCTTTTGAGCTGCTGATATGTATATGCAGTAGAAAATCGGGAAGTTGAACGTACGAAGGAATGGAATCATTCAGAAGTGTACTCAAAATAAGTAAATTATAACGGGGTGATGACGAGAATTAACACACGTGTGGCCATTGTATAAATATATGCCATGTACGCGTCTGTGTGAAATGGCTTTATTTAATATCCGCTTCTACCGAAATGAAATGAGGGGCACCCAGTAGATGTATATTGTCACAGTACCCCTTCCCACCCATATTGTTTTAATGCGTCATAATACATTGTTATTATGTACCGGTGACAGTCAAGATTTGCTAAGAATATAGTCCCCGTGTCGAACCCAACATCTCATGTTTTCGCGCGTTTCAGACCACGTGACTAACGGTTAACCACATTGCGGAAGTGATTTATGGCGTTGTGCTTTATGGATTTAGTTTAACTAAAGCTGCGAGTAATGAAGTAGTGTGTAAAATCTCATCGTATATAATTCAAAGTTTGGATTTGGTAGCAGCCAATAAGATGAAATGATACGTTGTAAGTTATTCATTGTTTACATACGCCGTACACGGTGGCACCACGTTATACATGTACAGTGTGTTAGAAATAAAAAAATACGACCGTAGCTGCCTCGCCAACGGTTAACATATCTTGTATTCAACTTAAATAAATTACATTTTCCGTCAACATGCTTACATCGGGATGATATCGGCACTCAAGCGATTCACCGTGTTCCACCGCGAAACACTATAATTCACCGTGAAACACCCTATTTCGCGGTGATTTGGCAAGCTGCCGTTTCGCTAGCGATTCTCCGAGATTCCACCGTGAAATAGAGTGTTTTTCCACGGTGTTCGGTGTTTCTAGTCTCAAACTCCAGACACGTAGTGCTATATCTAGAAGGCTGGGGCCTATTTCACGAAATTTTAACTAAGATAAAATTCAAATTTTAGTTATTTGATTGGATAATATTAGATTGATTTTAGCACTTAACCAATCAAAATTGAAGTATCTACTAAAATTGGGATTTTATCTTTAGTTAAGATTTCGAGAAACAGGGCCCTGATTTTTAGTTATCGCTTGAGCATCCATTGAGGTCATATTAGGTTTATCAGGTAAGAGATTTTTAGGCGATTCGTCAGATTTATTCATCTGATATAAAATGAATGCATCGTTGCCGAAAGTAATTAATCTATCGAGAAGTCTGCACGCGGTTACCTGCAATTTGTTGTGAGGCATGGCAGACCTCTATAGCGAGGTCATTCTGAACATCAGAGACAGGTTACCTAAAAAAAGCCAGCTACCATTTAATTTCCGTACGTTAGTTACGTACGTAGCCAGGTGTCTGGTTCAAAATGCGATCTGGAGTAGAAAGTAGAAAATCACCATGCTGCATTTTATTCAATAATTTTAGATGTGCGTAGGGGTCTTTACGCAGTGGAAGGAAAACGGGGAAAACTTGCATACTTCAAAATTATTAACAAATAGCTTAAAAGAATTCCCTGTCTGCCAGAATTTTCGGTTTTTAATATATTTTATCTGACTGACATAGACACAGACAAATGAAAGTATTAGCTTACCCAATCTGATTAAAATACAGATCTATATTTCGTTTCATTTTTTTATATTTTCGATGGCCTACACTACATGAACCAAGTGTAGTATAGACAAGTAAAACGAAATTTTGAACTATAAAAACGAAACGAAATAGGATCTGTATTTTAATCAGATTGTAGCTTACCTATTGTAGAAACAATAAACATGCCATTATGACAAGTAGCATCATTTATTTGGCATTTAAAATTCGCTTTAAAATCTTTCCAGCTTGGTTCCCCCTCGTCAGTGATGCAGAACGGCGGGTCTGACAAGGAGAGCTGTCTAGTCGGTCGGATGGGACAAATGAAATGAAATGAAATGGTGTTTAACGTCCTACTGTTCTGCTCCGAACTGGGCTAATGAAGACGGACATATGCCATACAGTGTGCTATGAGGGAAATTTTACCCGGACAGCGGCACTACGGCCTACTCTTATATCGAATTCCAACTGTCAAGGGATCTTTTACGTGCACGCCATTGTGTACACGGGACCTCTGTTTTTTGTCCCATCCGAACGACTAGACAGCTTTCCTTGTCAGCCCCTCCGTCCTGCATCACTGACAAGGGAGAACCATGCCGGAAAATTCGGATGGGACGAAAGACCGAGATCCCGTGTACACATTGTAAGAGTAGTTTGCGTATATGGCATTGTTTTTTTTGAACACGCATTAGATTCTTTGGAGAGCAGGTGGCTAGTTGGTTAAGACGCTGGCTCGCTAGCCTGGAGGTCGGGTGTTCGATCCCTGCATTGGCCGAGAAAGTTCATCTGGATTTTCCGACGTGGTTTCCCCTTGTCAGTGGTGCAGAACGGAGGGCCTGACAATGACAGCTGTCTAGTCCTTCGGATGAGACGAAAAACCGAGGTCCCGTGTATACATTCGAATGCACGTAAAAGATCCCTTTGCAGTTGGAATTCAATATAAGAGTAGGCGATAGTGCAAAATTTCCCTCATAGCACACTGTATGGCGTATGCCCGTCTTCATTAGCCCAGTATAGGAGCAGAACAGTAGGACGTTAAACCCCATTTCATTTCATTTCATTTCAGATACCGTTAAGTTTGAAGAGACACCATCTGGATTCAGTAGACCCTGTTGATTCGCAGGAGAGCCATGATGTTGGGGATCAGTCAGTAAACTCGCATACGCCATACAGGTTGCTATAAGGGAACATGTTGCCCTGGTAGCGCCGCCACGACCTACTCTCATGTCGAAGGTTTTTTTTTAGGTGCATGCAAATGTGTACACGAGCCTTTCCCGAGAATTGTGATCTGTGTACAAACTCGATGACTTTAGTATGTGCTGGTTAACATCTAAGGATATGTATTCCTAACAAACGCTTGAATAAAACAACAAAATAGAACACACATATATAATTTCTTTGTTTTATTCACGTCAGTCAAACATTCTAACTGTCGTCACACGGTCCGGTGTGTTGAACCGCTATTGTAATTCCATTGCTGTAAAATATGTAAAAACCATGTCTATGATCTTTGAATAATTATTGGTCATTTTGGGACTAGCGAAAGAGAGAGAAATGTAAATTTTTTATACAAATATCGAAATACGACAACAAATGGAGAATTAATGAATGTGAATTAAGAACTAAGAATTGAATATTCAGTGTTCTTAATTCTTAGTTCTTGAAAGAACTAAGAAAAGAACTAAGAATTAAGAACACTGAATATTCAAGAATTAAGAACACTGAATATTCAAGAATTAAGAAAAATCCTGAAAACTTGCCACTTTCATTTGGGTGAAAAAAGAAAATTAAAAGGCGAGAGGTGGAGAGGTAATCAAAATTGACCCTTTGTTTAAAGTTAAATTTGGCATACTGCTACGTCATACTGGGTCTGTTGTCATAGGTGACACCGTTGGAGTACTTTGTCGTATTTGGCCCCGGGAGCCTCTGTGACTCGGTATTTAAGGCGCTGGCTCGCTAACTTTGAGGTCTCGGGTACGTTTCCGGGCTGTTCCCCTGTGTCGGTCGTGCAGAACGGAGGGCCTGACAGGAACCAACGTCTAGTCTTTGGAAGTGTGCGTACAATAACCCTTGACAATTGGCATAAGAGTAGGTCGTATTGCCGTTGTCCGGGCAAAATTTCCCGCATAGCCCACATTATGACGTAATCGTCATTAATCCGGGCCCGAGCGATAAAAAAAAGAGAGAGAAATAGGTCTTAACGTCCACTCGACACAATCTAGGTCATTTGAACACATGGTTCAATTTTATTTCAATAATTCGCTTGCGCGTAGGGGTTCGTTAGCTGTGGGACGAAACCAGAGGACCCGGAGAAAACCCACGAGGTTGGACAGGCGACCCTACTCCTTGTCACTCACAACCGGGGAATCGAAACCACGCTAGTTGACTCAATGACCGACCGTATGATACAGCGCGCGCGTGCTAACCATTCGGCCATCCAGCCCCCACCCCCACCCCAGCTATAAAAGAAATGAAATGAAATGGGGTTTAACGTCCTGCTGTTCTGCTCCTATACTGGGCTAATGAAGACGGGCATACGCCACACAGTGTGCTATGAGGGAAATTTTGCCCGGGCAGCGGCACTATCGCCTACTCTTATATCGAATTCCAACTGCCAAGGGATCTTTTACGTGCATTCCAATGTATACACGGGACCTCGGTTTTTCGTCTCATCCGAATCCCAGCTATAAAGTAGGACGTTAACCCAATGTCATTTCTAATGGTATTTTGTAAGGACCACCTCGAATAGAAATATTTATAAAAGTTCAATTTGACATACATGCATGCCTGAAACCTCATGTTGCATCTGTTGTCATAGGTAACACCATTATCTCCACATACTGGAGAATAGATCAGCGTGCAAGCAAATAAACATTGCTCCGGGATGTCTAATGGGACCGAACAACACCCTGAAAATATACATCCAAAAATATCTTTCATATGTAGCCTACAACCAAACAATTCTCAAAACAAAGGGTGTTATTAGGGTAAGAAATATAAGAAAAGATTATACGCCTTGACCGGAAGTCATCTAGATCGCGTCAATCTGATTAAAACACAGATCCTATTTCGTTTCGTTTTTTATAGTTCAAAATTTCGTTTTACTTGTCTTTACTACATGTAGTGTGGGCCATCGAAAGTATAAAAAACGAACCGAAATATAAATCTGTATGTTTATTAGATTGAGATCGTGTTCGCTTTGACTTCTAGGTCTACCGTTTGCTGATTTGTGTATTATGTTATAGGTCCGCCATTATTGTACTAGCAAAAAAAGGAGTGAATGAGCAAGTTATCAAACCAAACGGCATACTCCTCGCGGCGTTTCGTTTGATTATACCTAATCAAACTTAACACTGCTGTAAAGGAAGCAAATGACTGGTCAATAGTCCGATTAACAGCCAATAGCTAACGGCGTAACAATATCATTACGTTTTAAACAGAGCTCCAAATTGGACCAAATATGTTTACATAACGTTACGTCATGACTCACGATTTTATTGTGCCCAATTAACCAGTACATAGCAGAATATTGCAGAAAAACTAATTGCATGACAAACGAGGCTATCAAAACGAATACAATGTAAACAATACTGTTTGGAGACGAACAATACTTTCACCGTTTTTAATACCTTAAATCACTGTCCAAAGTTTTAGGGAAAACCCCTGATTAAACGAAGGGCTGTCATGTTGCTGTACTTGAAATAGATTTGATAGAACGGGAAGAATAGACACACTCCCTTAAAAACTCAAGTATCAGAAGTCAATCCAGCAATGGACAGAGGGGGATTTCTCGGGCCATTGCTTCAAAAAACCAAACAGGAACCTAATCATACCGGGACATAGATATACGTGGGTTTAAGTATGTCTTATATCGAAATAAAATGTTTTAATGTAAAGACCATAGCTTATTTACGTTGTCTCGTGCTTTTTAGCTAAGCTGTTTTGGCAATAATAAGTCAAAAATAAAAGAACTTCCTCTTTTGGAGTCGAATTGGCTCAGTGAGTAAGACGTTGGATCCAGGTGTTTGTCGAGAAAGTTCATAGGGATTTTCCGGCGTGGTTCCCTCTTGTCAGTGGGGCATTCATGTTTTTGGACAAATAAATTACATGATAAACCCTAATGCCACATCGAAGCAGGCTGGGGGCCACGGTGGCTAAGTAGGTATGACGCTGGATCGCTAGCCTGGCTGGAGGTCGGGTGTTCGATCCCAGCACTGGCCAAGAAAGTTTATCGGGATTTTCCGACGTGGTTTCCCCTTGTCAGTGATGCAGGATGGGGGGCCTGACAGGGACAGATGTCTAGTCGTTCGGATGTGAGGAAAAACCGAGGTCCCGTGTACACATTGGCGTGCACGTAAATGATCCCTTGACAGTTAGAAATCGAGTAGGCCATACATAGTGCCGCTGCCCGGGCAAAATTTCCCTCATAGCACACTGTATGGCGTATGCCCGTCTTCATTAGCCCAGTTAGGAGCAGAACAGTAGGGCGTTAAACCGCGTTTCATTTCATTTCATTTTCGTATCCAGATCTAACAACAATATATGCAGATTTAATTAATGGTCAGTGTGGGATCCATGTGCCCTCCACCCTGTAAAAAATAAATCAGTTATTATTAAATTACATTCATTACTGTAGTATAGTGAGATTGTTGTTGATGAAACTGAATGTTATATTTAGGGCTCAGATGTGCCAGAAATCACCATTGCCCCGCCCTATTATCTCGGCCCTCAACCAAATACCCTGCGCCCGCCAATTCTAATCATATTGGATAAAGTCAGCAACCAAATAAATGTCTAATTAATTAATTAGCGTTCAGATAAATGTCTAATTAATAATACCAACAGTAAGATAAATGGTTAATTAAAGATACGTTATGGGAGATTAGATAAAGAGCTGGCAGTTTTCACTATAATAGAGTTAAAAACTAGCTGAAAATTTCAATCAAATTGATTCACTATGAACCGAGATTTTAGCGATTGAATTTTCGACCTAGTCTCGATCATCATTACTAAAGTCGGTACTATAAAAACATAGTCTCGATTATTTATTTCTTGATTTAATCATGAATGAACGTAGAGCAGCAGATGGGATCCTAATCCAGTAAATATAGCAGGCTAGCGATGACATCTAGAGTTGGTTATGGTCTGGATATGTTAATTAATGTCTAATTAATAATTTAGATAACATTTCAGGCCTGAAGAAAGACCTGAAACAGGCAGATTTATCTCTTGCATAATGTATCTTTATTGATACCAATGGTAAGATAAATGTCTACTGTCTGAACCTTCCTATTTTATAAACGGATTTCTTCGATTATGAACAAACTATTTAACTTTTTTTTTCACTGCAACACGTGGTTGTCAAACTCTCTGTCAAAATTAAACACCCCCACAACAGCTTCATTGATTTCGCCCAACACGTGACGAAAGGCATGTTTTATTTCACTTTGTAGAAAATTTAAGTAAACACGTCAAATTTTTCAAGAGACAACGTTTTTATTTGTTGGGATATTTAATTGTGCAATGGATTTTATATAACCGGAGTTGATTTCAAACACACTGGTAAGTTTATAATAACCAAAGTTAAATAGTTTGTTCATAATCGAAGAAATTTGTTTATAAAATAGGAAGGTTCAGACAGTAATTAATTCAACCAACAATCAGATAAATGTCTAACTAATTAATTAATTCAACTATAATCAAATAAATGTCTAGTATACCTGCGATCACAAGCAACAGCAACAAACAAGTCTTCATATTTTGTCACAAGACACGTAATAGGATTGAGACCGAATCAGCTAGATGTAAACTTGTCCAGATCGTTTGGGTTTTGCTGTGTTTTTAAAGAGTTACATGAAAATGTTTGACAGATTAATTACCTATTATCACTATTATAACCGACATTTATATCTATCAGTAATCTATGGGCCATTCGACATTGGCGATAAACTTGTTTATCTGTGGAATAATTAAATAAAAATAAAAGTTATACCATCCGCTCGATAATGTCAACATGTGTGGACCGGTTTTAAATACAAATTACGTGGGTTTTTTTTGGGTTTTTTTATTTTCACTAAAAGGTCATATAAAGATTTGACACATTAATTATTTATTATTCTTAAAATTGCGTAATTAGAACGGATGAAAATAGACATTGGTATAATCGAGACGTCATTAAAGTGCTTCCATCGATTATACTTCTCACAAATAATCTAAACTGACACGATCAACCCTGTACTCTCAAGTACGACTCTGTTACAGTGTCACGGTCTCCTGGGATCTTTACTACCCTCCTCCCCAAGGCCCCCACACCCCATAATAATTTGCATTAGTTCAAAACATTGGCTCGATATGCTGACACCCCCCGCCCTCAACCTACTCAATCGATCAATATGAATTTCGTTCCGACAGGCGTCTGTACTATCTACAGTATTGTTTATACAAGGAAACATTCCGTCTACGATGATGGTACTCATAGAGACGTTTCACACTGATCCGCTAGGCCGCGACAATCACTGATAAAGGATGACATCGACGCGACTTAATGAGCAACAAATATTAACTTTTTTCATCCGACAAATTAAATTCTAAAACATTTTTTTTATGTATTAGAAAAATATCAGTGTGATATTTTGCCACTTAGACGCCTTAAATGAGAAATGACGTCATCGTGTACATCAAATAAGATAATAAAAAAGACCCAAAAGCCTATATAAGTACACAATTAAAAAAATATACCTAAAGGCATACAAGACAATTAAATAAAAAGACCCAAAAGCAAAACAAAAATAAAATAAAACAAAAAATAAATAAATAAAAAGACCCCAAAAAAATAACTTAGTGACCTTAAAAAGTCTACAGAAATTAGATAAAACGATCCATAAACCAAATAAATATAAAGAATAAAAAAAACATAATAAAACAAAATTAAATAAAAAAAAAGACCCAAAAGCAAAAAAAAAAAAAAAAATAATAATAGATAAATAAAAAGACCCCAAAGCATAAAAAAAATAATTTAGTGACCTAAAAAAGTCTGCAGAAATTAAATAAAAAGATCCATAAATCAAATATAAAGAATAAAAAAAAAAACATAATAAAACAAAATTAAATAAAAAAAAAGACCCTAAGCATAAAAACAAAATTAATTAAATGAACCAAAAGGCCGAGTACAAAATCAAATAAAATGGGTTCGATCTGATATTGACCCGGAAAGTTCCTCGTATTTTCCAGAATAGAGAGCCTGGAAAGGGACAGTGTCTAGTTTAGTCGACAGGACAAAAACCCGTGGTCTCATAGACACGTTTCCGTCCACACACTTTACAGTAGGAATTCTGTGAAGAGTAGGCGGAAACGCCGATGCCCGGGAAAATATCCCTCACATCATACTCCATGGCGTATCTCCGTGGCATATTATCCCGGTTGGCACAGCGAGAGAGAGAGAGAGAGGGAGAGAGAGAGATGAGGTTTAATGTCCACTCGACACAAATTAGGTCATTTCGGGATTAACATATGGTTCAATTTTATTTCAATAGTTCTCTTGCGCGTAGGGGTCTTTAGCAGAGGGAGTTAACTGGAGAACCCGGAGAAAACCCACGAGGTTGGACAGGGGACCCTACTCCTTTTCACGTACAACCGGGGATTCGAAACCACGCCAGTTGACTCAATGACAGGCCTTATGATGCAGCACGCACGTGCTAACCATTCAGCCATCCACCCCCCACCCCACTTGGTAAGAGGAAGTAGGTCGTTAAACCCTATTTCATTTCATTTATTACGGAGAATAGATGATCGGTATAGGCAACTTTAATCAATTGATTAATGAATGTGTCAATCGGTAGGCAATAAACTAACAGGTTGTTTCGGTTTTTTTGTTTTTATATTTAATGAACTGACACATTAAGTATCCTCATATTATCTATAAAATGTCATTACCCAATATTATCTTCATATTATCCATAACATTATATGACGTCAATGTTTGGGGTTTTGTTTCTTTTTTAATTTAAAGGTCGAAAAAAGATTTGGCACCTTTTAATTGCCTATTATTCTCATATAATCGAAAACATTTCATTAACAAATATGGTCATGGGGTGGCTGTGGAAATTACTCCATTTCCACTAATTATTAGGAAATGACCTGTAATTTGACACATATCGTTCGCTCGAATACACGGCGACTTTACTTTCAGCTCACCCATTTAACCTATTTCAAAACAAATATTTAGTTTTCATTTACTCTCCTGGTGTTCGACTCTCTCTCTCTCTCTCTCTCTCTCGTCTCATATTTCTGATTTTGACGTGTTACTCAAGCCACATAATATCTAGAATATATAAGATCGATTTAAATGTAATAGATGCCCGGTGACTGTTAAGGTCATTCCATTCATAGAGCAAAAAATAACATTACACGTAAAGCCAATCTGATTAAAACACAGGTCCTATTTCGTTTTTTTGTTTTTTTTTAATAGTTCAAAATTTTGTTTTACTTGTCTTTACTACACTGGGATCTGGAAGAGTTGTTACCAAAGACGTGTTCTGGATGATGTGAGGGATTAGCCAATGAGACGGTCTGTTACGGCGAGCTTTTGGTGTGAAGTGCACGGAACTGTGGGTAATCCACTACAAAAACATCAATGCTGATTGGTTAATCAAATGTCTGACGCCATAGGCCAAAAGCCGCTCGTATGACCTCTGACGCGACCTTTCAGTACATTTGTGCAGATCTTCATGTAGTGTAGGCCATCGAAAGTATAAAAAAAAGAAACGAAATATCTAGATATAATCCTTATAAGACATATAGAGGTAGATTTCACAAATTAAAAACACTTGCGACGTTTCGATACACATGCAGATATCGTTATCAAGCAAATAATGATATTTAAGAAAAATATGGTGCAATATATAGATAACTATTGGAAACCATATAACAGATTAATCATTAATTACAAATAATTAACGAGATGAAAGAAGTAATATATTGATAAACAAAGCTGTACAACAAAGCTATAGATGATATCAACAGAAATTTGGAAGCATGGTATAAAAAAGATCTATTAAATATAACTGCTAAAGACATTTTTAACCAAATGGTATTAGCTAAATACGGAAAAGCAAAATCAATGACTAAATGGGAGGAAGAACTAAATATACACCAATTTGAAGAAAATGATATAAAAATGATATTCAAATTAGCTCACCATGTAAATATTAACTCTAAATTACAGAACTTCCAATATAAGTACATCCATAGAATAATTTATACAAATAAATTACTGTAAATTAAGACTGACGGAATCAACTCTGTGTTCTTTCTGTCTTTCAGATATTGAAACTGTAAATCATTTGTTTATACACTGTAGTTACATGCAACGAATATGGAACGAAATGTATGAAATTCTTACAAAAGCAAATATAAACGTAAATATAACACAAAAGGAATTTCACCTTGGTTGCCTAGATAAATCAGTTTTTGACAATATTAACAAATGGACTTTTGTAAATCAAATAATATTTTTAACTAAGTATTACATATATAAATCAAAAATAGAAGCAAATATTCCTACCCGCGAAAGATACAGAGCATTTTTACAAAGTAAAAAATTCTTAGAACTGGAAATTTTTAAAACTAATAAGAAGATACTTAATACATGTAAATGAACATTTTTACCGCATACCCAAACAAAAAACAGAAATAAACAAAAATTATTGTTATTAAATTATATGAACAACACGGTAGCTAAACGTACTTAAGTCCTTTCAACTTTCGACTTTCATTTCGTGGAAAGGATCTGTACTTTAATCTACCGCTTAACAGCTTAAAATTTTCCCTTAAAATGTACAAAAAAGGTCGCTAATAATGTCAAGACTCTGGCCTCCTTAAGGGGAGATAACACATCTTGGGGGAAAACCAAGCTAAATATAATTACACATAATAAAACAGTACCCTTTGAGACTGATAGAAGTAACGTATTCCCTGCACACAATAGGTCGCTAATAATGTCAAAACTCTGGCCTCCTTAAGGGGAGATAACACATCTTGGGGGGAAAACCAAGCTAAATATAATTACACATAATAAAACAGTACCCTTTGAGACTAATAGAAGTAACGTATTCCCTGCACACAATACTAAAGATAAACATCTACTGGCAATAATAAACGAATGTTAAATAAATGATTTTGAAATTGTATAATATAATTATATGTAGAGATAATGTAATGATAAACCCTATAATGTATTAATACTGTATGATGTACCTGTTATTTGTTATGTAATAAGTTTTGAAAAAAAAAAAAGAAAAAAAAAGATAAACAATTACAACGGATTAACAAAATGAAAGACTGTAATATACTGATAACAATTAGAAACGAGATGGATTTAGCAGATCAAACTAATTATTATAAGAGATTAACGAGATGAGAGATATAGATACACGTAGAGTAAGTTGGGGGTGGAGGTATTTGGTGGTCTGCATCCCTATTACCGATGTGAGAGTTATCTTCCCACACACAAGTAGGGGCGCTCTTCTAAGATTCCACAACAAACCAAAACATTTTTGTTGTCTGCACAAAAATTAGAGTCCACAATGCTGAAAGCAAAGATTTTAATGTTAGGGCCATGTCAGGTTGGTATTTTTATTTTATCTGTGAAAGTGTTGATAATATGGCATTCATGTTTGATGTGACTCACATTTTTGTGTCTCAATATTTCATTGTTGTTCAACTTGTTGAAGATTTTGTCTTACAGTTACTTATTAAGAGTCATAATTACTGACTTACTCTAACTCATTAGTGGTTTTAATCTTAAACCCCTAACCCTGAATTTATAGGCTTTAATCTTAAATACCTGACCCAAACTCTAACCCTAATCCAAAAATGTAAAAGTGATGGAAATAGAAAAGGAAGTCGGATCAAACATGATCGCCGATACCTATGGGCTATTATTTCTAAATAAAATATGCTTTGCAGTGCAGTTTGCCCATATAATATGGAATCACAGGGTTTCCTTTTCACCGTTCATAGTATCCGACCACCACCTCCCCTTTTAGATATTCAAATTCTAAAATAAATTTACTAAATTTAGGCTACATGACATAGAAATTGAAAAGAATAGCCAACAGTAGTACAACTACAAACCCTACAAGTAAACCTAGATGCTAACCCATTCACGTATGTAATTGAACATCTCAGTGAGAAAATAAAACTTCGCCAGAGCCAGTATGTGAAACACAACACACTGGTTAAAACAGGCACCTTTCTGTCAAATAGCTTTTTCTCTGAGATTGCAGGCTAAAAATAGACAAATAATGTCAGCAAAACAAAGGCGAAATTTAGGTAACCAAGGGCGAAAGAATTTAAAATTTTAGTCATATTTTGCTTGTCCTACCCTGTACCTTTAAAAACTAAAACAGACTAATAAGATTACAATTTTTTTTACCTGGTTAGCTAAATTTCTTATCTTCTTCAAAACTCTGGGTCCTCCGGTTTCCTCCCACTGCTAAAGACCCCTACACGCAAGCAAATTATTGAAATAAAAATGAACCATGTGTTAGTCCCAAAATGACCTAGTTTGTGTTGAGTGGCCGTTAAACCCTCTCTCTCTATTTCTCTTTTTCTCTCGCTCTTATGGGTTGGTTTATTTTTAGACAATGTTTAAATAATGTTTGATATTTAATATTACAGAGTGGTAAGACCGTGTTAAGTAATTTTTTAAGTGATTCTACTGATTCTGCTGGTGGCGATTATCAACCAACGCAGGGTGTCAGGTACATTGTATATTTATTTTTATGAGGGACAGTAATAGTTGACATTTTTTCAAATTTACACGATTTGACCATTTAGGTGGAGCCGCGCTGGCTTAGTGAGTGGATTTTCCGTCGTGGTTCCCCCTTGTCAGTGTTGCACAACATCTAGTTGTTTGGATGGGACGAAAAACCGAGGTCCTGTCTACACAAAGGCGTGCATGTAAAATTTCCCTCATGGCATACATGGATGTCCATCTTCATTAGCCAGTCAGAGCAGAACTGTAGGACGTTACACCCCATTTCATTTCCTATACTTCCGTATGATTATAGTCATATTATTGAAGAATAGTCATATCCTGGATAGCGAGACTTGTGTAGAGAATTATATTATAACAGAAGTAGTACAGGGCACAATTGTTAGATAAAAACAAATAAGATTCTGTACCATCAATGTTATAGTTAGGCCTGATTCAGTCAACTTTTATGCATGTGTTGATTACCATGTTTAAAAATTGAATGATGATAAAGGCCTTCTTATACACTCCTAACTTATAATGCCCCTGCAATGAATGAACAGATGAAATGGAAGGGTACACATCCTTTAAATACCGTACAAATGTTCAGCCGTTTTGATAAGGTGGGCAAGATATGATAAAGTCTGCGAAAAATTTATGGCAGACTTCGTTCACCATTTCAGTTATCCCATCTTCATTAGCCCATTCAGAGCAGAAAAGTAGAATATTAAAGGAGCTAAATCACTATTCTTTGGCACCTAGAAATGGACACAAATGGGTCGCAACACATATAATAATAAATGGTAATATGAATGTATATATATACTGCTTTGCATTCAATCGCCTAGTCTTTTTCTGTGTGGGGGGTTGGATGGCTGAATGGTTAGCGTGCGCGCGCTGTATCATAAAGTCTGTCATTGAGTCGACTGGCGTGGTTTCGAATCCCTGGTTGTACGTGACAAGGAGTAGGGTCGCCTGTCCAACCTTGTGGGTTTTCTCCGGATCCTCCGGTTTCCTCCCACTGCTAAAGACCCCTATGCGCAAGCGAATTATTGAAATAAAATTAAACCATATTTTAGTCCCGAAATGAACTAGTTTGTGTCGAGTGGACGTTAAATCCCATTTCTCTCTCTCTCTTTCTGTGTCTGACACAAAGTACAAAATGTCCGGTACTAGATCATTACTGCCTGACATTTTATAAGGTACATGTGTACAACTGCAAGTACTATCTATAGTCCTCATTAATTTATTTATGTTTAATTTTTTTTTTGTGTAGAATTTTAGAATTCGAAGTTCCATCATCTGATGTGAAGTCGCGGACAAGTGTTGAAGTTGAATTGTGGGATGTTAGCGGTGATAAAAAGTAAGAATACAAATTATTATAGACAAACATTTAAAGATACATTATGTAAGATTTAGATAAAGAGCTGACAGTTCTCGCTATAATAGTTCAAAATAGATAATGAAAAAGGAGTACATGTATATTGAAAAATTCATTCAAATTACTTTATTCTGATTAATGTGTTTGAAGTTTTGACAAGAACAGCATAATCTCGATTTTCATTGCTACCATTGTTATGATAAACTATTGAATAGCAGCAGTGTTTCAATCCATTAAAAATCACAACCATAGGATGGTCTAGAGAGTTGATTGTGGAGCCAGAAAAAAGACCTGCAATAAGAAGATTTAGCTCTTACATAATGCATCTTTAATTATTGGTATGTGCGACGTGTTAATTTGTTAATTAAATATCTGTTGCCATCGTTATTTGTTAATTAAATATCTGTTGCCATCGTTTATTTGGTAATTAAATATCTGTTGCCATCGTTTATTTGGTAATTAATCTATTGCCATCCTTATTTGTTAACTAAATATCTGTTGCCATGGTTATTTGTTAATTAAATATCTGTTGCCATCGTTATTTGTTAATTAAATATCTGTTGCCATCGTTATTTGTAAATTAAATATCTGTTGCCATCGTTATTTGTTAATTAAATATCTGTTGCCATCATTATTTGCTAATTAAATATCTGTTGCCATCGTTCTTTGTTAATTAAATATTTGTTGCCATCGTTATTTGTTAATTAAATATCTGTTGCCATCGTTATTTGTTAATTAAATATCTGTTACCATCATTATTTGTTAATTAAATATGTGTTGCCATGGTTATTTGTTAATTAAATATCTGTTATCATGGTTATTTGCTAATTAAATATCTGTTACCATCGTTATTTGTTAATTAAATATGTGTTGCCATGGTTATTTGTTAATTAAATATCTGTTGCCATTGTTATTTGTTAATTAAGTATCTGGTGCCATGGTTATTTGTTAATTAAATATCTGTTATTTGAAGTCTGTGATTGTTGTTTTTCAGGTTTGAGACATGTTGGCCAGCAATAGCTCGAGATGTTAATGGTATAGTATTTGTATATAATCCAGATCAGTCCAATCATGATAAAGAATTAGAATATTTGTAAGTTGAATATTCAAATCTTTATTTAAAGAAAATAAGGTGTTACTCAGTCGAGTTTCTCCCTTAAAGTTGTATTATATAAGAGCTAAATCTAACAATTGCATTTCTTTTTTCTGACTTCAAATGTTGTTTGAATTATTAGATTTTTCACATAAACAACAGTGTAACAATCTGATTAAAACACAGATCCTATTTCGTTTTGTTTTTTTATAGTTCAAAATTTCGTTTTACTTGTCTTTACTACACTAGGATCTGGAAGAGTTGTTATCACTAAGGTGTTCTGGATGATGTGAGGGTTTAGGCATTGAAACAGTCTGTTTCAGCAAGCTTTTGACATGTGGTGCACGGAACTGTGCGTATTCCACTACGGCACTAGAAACATTAATGCTGATTGGTTAATCAAATGTCTGACATCATAGGGTCAAAAGCCACTTGTATGACCTCTGACACGACCTATCACTAAAAAAACTGGTCAGATCTTCATGTAGTGTAGACCATCGTAAGTATAAAAAAAAAAAAACGAAATATAGATCTGTATTTTAATTAGATTGACAGTGTAAATTCTCCAGATATTGTCGAATTGCTGATGGCAAGTGACTGGAATAAATGAAATTGGGCTTAAAGTCATACATTTCTACACTGACTTTGTCTTACAGTGGGGCATTTTGCGCGGACAGTGGCACTGCTCTTATTTCAAATTCAATCTTGTCAAGGGTTCTTTTACGTACACAGGACACCAATACTGTGTACCATAGGACCTCGGTTAATCCCTCCCGTCCAAACAACACGAAACTGTCTCCTTGCCAAGCGCTATGTCCTGCACCACTGACAAGGGAAACCACATCGACCGGATTAACGTTTATGATTTCGTTTGAAAAAGCAATTTTTCAAATAATGTAGTTGTCTCCCCGTATAGGTTAAATTATTTCTCATCATCGGGTATAAGACAGGAACAGTGTATCTGTTTCTCGAATACGAAACCTACAACAGCCGAACGAATTAAAAAACGTACTCGTAAGTATTACACGGCATGATGATTGTGTCTATTACATGTTGTTTGATCACCCAGTCACTGTAGCATGATTTGTTGTAAGTTATTTATGGAACCTTTTTTAATAATAACTAATAACAATTTTATTTTCCACCACTGTTTGATTAATGGTTATGTTTGGGGTGGGGTGGGGAATGGAGGGAGGGGGGGAATTCAGAATAATGTTTTGTTAGCACTACTTAGAATGTTGTATATATGAACACACACACACACACACAGAGAGAGAGAAAGAGAGAGAGAGACTGACAGACAGAGAGACAGAGGGAGGGAGAGGGAGATATTTTTAGAGTTTACTGTCCACTCAACACAAAGTAGGTCACTTCGAGACTAACATATGGTTCAATTTAATAGCAGTGGGAGGAAACCAAACAAGCCGGGGAATCGAAACCACACCACTTGACTCAACAACAGACCTTGTGATCTAACACACATGCATTAAACCATTCGACCACCCAACATAAGTTCTTGTATCCATTGGTTACAGCTTATTGAGTGAGTGACTCTATTTTCCGACTGGTTGTTGGATTTTCAAGTATTCTGTGATCAAATCTGGAATGTCCGACACAAGTCTGGAAATACAGCACCTGTTATACAATGTCTAACCCAAGTCTGGAAATACGGCACCTGTCACACAATGTCCAACACAAGTCTGGAAATACGGCACCTGTCAGACACAAGCTCTGGTTTCAGTCAGACACAATTCCTCTGTTTCCTTTACATTTTCCTCTCCAACCTCGTGGGTTTTCTCCGGGTCCTCCGGTTTCCTCCCACTGCTAAAGACCCGTATGCGCAAGCAAATTAATGAAATAAAATTAAACCATATGTTAGTCTCGAAATGACCTAGTTTGTGTCGAGTGGACGTTAAACCCAAGTTCTCTCTCTCTCACATTTACCTCGACACAGATTTGTCTTTCATCAGATTTTATAATTATATTTCTAATACATGTCTAGAATCAAGTTCAAAATAAGTGCCTAAAATTTTGTCAGATATGTTTAAAGGCATTGGGGGTGGCGGCGAATGGTTAACACATGTCATTGAGTCAAGTGGCGTGACAAGGAGCAAGGAGGGGGGTTGCCTTCCAGCCTCGTTGGTGGGGATTCTTTGGGTCCTCTGGTTTCCTCCCACTGCTAAAGACCCCTAGGTGCAAACGATTTACTGAAATAAAGTTGAACCATATGTTATTCCTGAATATACCAAGTTGTGTCTAGTTGATGTTAAACTCTCTCTCTCTCTCTCTCTATTTTTTATTAGAATGGATAATAAAAAAAATCATTCACAGCAAAATTTCGAATTCTGACTGTCAAGGGTTCTTTTCTGTGCATGTCGATATGTGTACACAGGAACTCGCTTTTTGTCCCATCCGAATGACTATACATTATGCCGTGCAAGACCCACCATCCTGCACAAAGGGGAACCAATCCAGAATACCCAGATGTACTTTCTTGTTCAACACCGGGAACGAACACGGGACCTCCAGGGTAGCGAGCTAGCATCCTACCCACTGAGCCACCACAGCTCCCCGCCTCTTTAAAACAATTTTTCATTTCACCATGGTTTCACATTCTTAATTTTATTTTTAACATGTTACTGTTTTATGTTGTATTATCACGTGTAAGCTGATACCGTGTAAGCTGATACCGTTGACTAATGACCTTTTAGTAATGACAATTTTTGTCATTAAATCATATAATTGATCAGTATTCTAATCTAATGTTTAGTATGTATAGAAAGTAGTTAGAAATTATACAGTTGTCATTAATTAGCAAGTGTGTAAATAGCTGTAAAAAATGTGACTATTAATAACCCCCATCACTATTGAATAGACAAACCTAACCAATATTGTTGTATATCATTCAATAGTCACAGTTTTAACACCTTAGTGACAAAACACCTACTTAATGACTACTGCCTGATTACTAACAATTTTAACTAATACACATACTGATGACTTTGATCTATTAGTGTCGTATATTTTCATTTATAACAGTTACTTGTTTCTTAGTCAACGATATCAACGTTACAGTGTATTTTGTTGCATGTTTTAAAGTGACCCAGACAATGGTTATTAAAGAAAAGGAAAATTTTTCAAATTCATGGATCAAGATTTTGTATTTCTCAGACAATTTCATGACCAAAATATACTCATTAATTATTTAAAGTTTATTCAAGAAAAAAAAATCAAAATATGAACAGTAGATAATCTCCAGGGAGGGATTTGGTTGGTTTAAAAAGAGGCCCATCATAAGTTTTTACCAAACCCTTATTTTGGAGGGGGGTTGGATGGCCGAATGGTTAGCACGCGCGCGCTGTATCATACGGTCTGTCATTGAGCCAACTGGCGTGGTTTCGATTCCCCAGTTGTACGTGACAAGGAGTAGGGTCGCCTGTCCAACCTCGTGGGTTTTCTCTGGGTCCTCTGGTTTCCTCCCACTGCTAAAGACCCCTACGCGCAAGCGAAGTATTGAAAAAAATTAAACCATATGTTAGTCCCGAAATGACCAAGTTTGTGTCGAGTGGACATTTAACCCTATCTAGTCGTCTAAAGTGTCGCGCTTCGAACTCTGGCTGACCAGTCACCTCTGGCTCGAGGTCTTGGTTTCTATCCCTGGTGTGAGTATATGTGGCTTGCAGATAGGTGCGCCTTCTCAATCTCGTGGGTTTACTCCGGGTACTCCGGTTTCCTCCAACAGACAACATCCCTGCACATGCACTAAGCATAGTAAAATAAGACAACTTGTCTGCGATATCACCCTTGGTGGAAGCGGTTGTAAAACACTAATAGTGGAAGAAGAATAACAAAGCTACCATAACAGATTGTCAGGCGAAATTACAATAGCTTGGCAAAAACATCAAGATTCTGGTGAGCCAAGTGGATATGTCATGTTCATCAAACTTCTGGATCCCTCCTTGTTATTTTAATCCATATGGAATTACTCTCAGAGCAAAAGAGAGGGGGAGGTTTAACATCTTTTCAACACAAACTAGGTCATTTCGGGACTAACAAATGGTTCAATTTTATTTCAATAATAAACTTGCATCTAGGGGACTTTAGTAGTGGGAGGAAACCAGAGGACCTGGAGAAAACCCACAAGGTTGGACAGGCAAACAGGGGGAAATCGAAACCACATGCGCTAACCATTCGGCCATCCAACCCCCTCTCAGTGCACAAAAGCTAAATTAACAAATTTGCATGTACATTTAATTGTCTGTACAGTGTCACTGTATTTTATTTAACTGAATGTTGTGTTGGATGTTTGCACGTTGTTTCATGTTGTTTTTAGATTTACTTATTTCGCGGAACAAGGAGCATTGAAAGAGAATCAGTGTATTGTATTTTCTCATGTTAAACCTCGATCTACTGGAGATATACAATCAGAATTACGTAAGTTTTACACAATCTTTGTCTTGTCAGTGGTAGAATGGATTCCGATAAATGTTTTATTTACTGACATATAAAACATTACAATCCTAGCATGAATCAAGCAATGGATCCAGAAGTGAGCAATGCAGAATTGGGTTTCTATTTATCAAGGACTGGCAGAGAAAGGGGATTTTGTGAGTCAAAAGAAACCCAACAAAACCAATCCCACCCACTTATCTTATAAGATACATTGGTTTTATGCATGGTTAACTCATTAACGTAGTAACTAGTTTTCCATATATAGACATCCCCTAACTTCCTGAGTCACTTAAATAGTCATCGAGTGCTAGCATGATATATTATTGAATCAACGTATTGTGATTCACCTCAGGATTGACATATTGAAATCGGTGAATCAATTATTCACGATTCTTTTTTTTATGTTTTTGTCACTTGTAATTATCCACGTCACCCACTAGTAATTATCCACGTCACCCACTTGTAATTATCCATGTCACAAACTTGTAATTATCCACGTCACACACTTGTCATTATCCACGTCTTTTCACAAACACCCTTAAATTGTTTGATCCTTTTTTTGATTGCAAGTTTCTTTCCATGTTTTAGTGGCTCTAATAAAAATATCAATTATTCATTTATCCTGTGGATTTCTTGGTAAATATTGACAGGGTTATGAATCGTTATATGAATCGTACCATGGCACCTGTATCGGAATACGTATTGTATCACAACTGCAGTCGCAATAACCAGCACTATACATAACTTGGGTGGTTTGAGGCGGTCTAAGAAACAGTAGTTTCAGGCATTTTCAGACTGTACAATCACAGGTATGACTGTCCCAAACCAGGTTGATAGCTGTGCGACCCCCAAGAACTGGTATACAATACAGAGATTTGTTCACAGCGCTCTGGTGGTTTGCAGCGGTGTCTGTCCAGATATTTTATTAACACATGTTCTTCTGCCTAACACAAACAGGGTAATTAAAGTCGTTACAAAAACGAAAACATTTGTCACTTCAACATTTGCTTCCAGACAATTTTAAACTTGCACATGGTCAATTAGATCTCAGCAATGGTCTATTTTTAAACAGGGACAAATGTTTTCAGCTTTTAACAAGAAATTGCTTTTTAAAGGAACAAAACATTTCAATCCCTGTTTGTGCAAGGTATTGGAATTATATTTTTGTTGAATGTTAAAGAAAAAGGTAACGTAATAATTTCATAAGAAATAGATGATGTTGATGATAAATAATTCTATTTATATACTATCAGCTGATGAGGAAACAGGTGATTACTGGATGTTGTCTTCTCTTTAATGCACATCCATTTCACATTCTTGAACCAGGAACTCATTGTAATACATTTGATAATCTTTGGTTGTGGTGACACTCTTTTAAAACGGGGGGTTGGATGGCCGAATGGCTAGAACGTGCGCACTGTATCATAAAGCCTGTCATTGAGTCAACTGACGTGGTTTCGAATCCCCGGTTGTACGTGACAAGGAGTAGGTTCGCCTGTCCAACCTCGTGGATTTTCTCCAGGTCCTCCGGTTTCCTCCCACTGCTAAAGACGCCTACGCGCAAGCGAATTATTGAAAAAAATTAAACCATATGTTAGTCCCGAAATGACCTAGTTTGTGTCGTGTGGACGTTAAACCACATTTTTTTCTCTCTCTTTTCCAAAACAGACCCCAATACCCTGCAAATTCAAGTAGAATCGAAATGAAATTGGCCATGTTTGTTCTTTGAATTCTGCATCATCAAAGGAAAAAATAAGTTGGGCGGCAAAGCTTTTTAAAAAAAAAAAGCCTGGGCCACTGCCACTTTGCGTACGATCGAACTTGGCATATTTGTACTTTGGACAATTGCGCATCGATTAATGGACCTCGATTTTTAATATGTTACTATTTGAGATACATGTAGCTGCGAAGGCGTGATGTTTGGTTCCTGGTTCATGTAGTACTATAATAATTGATCACCACATGAACTTAAAGAAATCACACACTTTGGAATTATTCTCTTAATACCATAGAACAAACCCTTTTCTTTGCTTTTCTCGTAATCCTGTAGAACAAATCATATCGTTCGCTTTTATCTTAATCCTGTAGAACAAATCATATCGTTCGCTTTTATCTTAATCCTGTAGAACAAATCATATCCTTCCTTTTTGAAACCCCATCCTTTCTTTTTCTTTTATTCCCATAGAACAAAACCCTATTCTTTGCTTTTTTCTTAATCGCATAGACCAAACCATATTTTTTTCTTTTTCTAAAGTCCATTCATATAGTTGGTTTTGTTCTTCGCTTTCCATCCCAAAATTTATCTCTTTAGCACTTTGCTAAAATTTTTAAAAAACAACATCGTCAATCCGTCATTAGGTTGTCGACACTCTAGAGGTCACAATTTTCATCTGAATTTAATGAAAATTAAAATGTATATTGTTTATATCCAAAGATACTGGTGGTTCCTTTTGATATTAACGCATGTCGGACTGTAACATCTTGGATTTTGACCGCTTATTGTATGCTTTTTTAGCTTGTTCTGTGTCCATCTCTTGCAATGTGGGCGTATCTCGCTGCAACCGCTTGTTTAACTAATATTCCTTTTATAGATTCGACTTTCATACTATTGTAGTTTGCAAGGGATTCAACATCTCTCGAATAAAGATCTGAAGCATGTGGCTTTGAACATACATTGTGTAAGAGCTAAATCTGCCTATTGCGGGTCTTTTATTAGGCCTGAAATGTTATCCAAATTATTAATAAGACATTTATTAACTTATCCAGACCCCATAATCAACTTTCGGTGTCATCGCTAGCCAGCGATAATTACTGGATTTGAATCAGATCTGCTGCTCAATGCTCATTGATGATTAAATCAAAAAATGGATATTCAAGACTATGTTTTTTTATGTACCGACTTTAGTAATGATGAGGCCTAAAATTTAATCGCTAAATTCCAGGTTCACAGTAGATCAATTTGACTGAAATTTTTCAGCAAATTCCCTTTACATTATCTAGTTTTTAACTATTATAGTGAGAACTGCCAGCTCTTTAGCAAATCTTCCATAATGTATCTTTAATATAGATATTTTATTTTTACAGCAAGTAGTTTTAGCAGGATAACGACAGTACAGACAAATTTAGATGAAGATGGTGAGGCTGTTCGTGACGCATTTAATAAATTCCTGGCAACTCTGGTCACAGCTCTCTCTGATAAACGGGAGGAGGAAGAACTAAGCATCATTAATCAAAGATAGGCATAGGAGAAATAAAATAAATTATTGTTAGTTTCTGATGTAAATTTATGTTTTATATTTGAAGATTTGAAGAGTCCAGAGGAAGAACGATCTAAGTCACATTTTTGTCTTTTCGCATAAAAGGCAAAACAGATTTTTGGACGAGAATGCTTGACGCGAACAGAACAACGAGTGGGTTTAATTACAACTTCAAAATGATGTTTAATACGAATCATAATTACCAGTACAACAACTGACTTTCACTTTTCAGCCAAATTAAGATCAAATAAAGGGTACGATGGACTTGTATTTGTCCGGGAGGCCATTTCACAAGGACCTTGGTTCGATGTGACTCTGATCGTTTTTACCTGAAATTGATTTGTTCCACAGAAAGCTTATACAATTTGCTACCAGATGGCGCCATTAACTGGGATACGTTGAAAAAGTGACTTAGATCGTTCTTCCCCAGAGCTCTTCATTTATGAGATGTGAAAGCTGTGGTCGTATATTGTCCTCACCTCTGTCTGATCGCTGCCCGTTTATCCGTTCCATTCCGTTCGTCGTCCACATGGCTTTAGGGGCAAAACGAAAAGATAGGTGAATAGATGAAATAAAATAACTGATTGTTAGGTTTTGATGTAATGTGATGTATTATATTTATTAATGAAATGCTGTATTGTCGTCACCTGTACATACGCTACCTGCTTCACTGTACAATCTGATTAAAATACACATCTATATTTTGTTTCGTTTTTGTATACTTTCGACGGCCTACACCACATGAAGATTTGACCAGTTGTACTGGGAGGTTGCGCCAGGAGATACGAGTGGCTTTTGACCCTATGACGTCAGATATAAGTTTCTAGGTGTTTACCCACAGTTCCGTGCATAAAAAGGCCAAGAACAGACCGTTTCATTGGCTAATTCCTCACATCAGAAGGCCTGTTATATAACAACTCTTCCAGATCCTAGTTTTGTGAAGACAAGTAAAACGAAATATTGAACTATAAAAAAAGAAACGAAATAGGACCCGTGTTTTAATCAGATTGGACTAGTTCGTCATGCACTATTGCTCCAGAGGCTAAATTTATTTACTTATATGCAAATCACATTTTATTGAATGTCCGTCCATTATTTTTGACTTTGTAATTGTTTGTATTGATATCAGTTTAACATAATGAACTCATTTGACAAAAGTATACAATACATAGACAATATCACCCAGTTCATATACTGTACTGCATGTATAGTAGACAATATCATCCAGTTGTAATCCGTCCTGACATTATTGTGTCACATTGTTAATTATCATTTTATATAATTAAAATATTCCATGTATATATATTTATATGCTTTTATCTCATTTATACTGGGGCCACGGTGGGTAAGGCGCTGGTTCGCTAGCCTGGAGGTCGGGTGTTTGATCCCTGCATTGGCCGAGAAAGTTCATCAGGATTTTCCGACATGGTTTCCCCATGTCCGTGGTGCCGGACAGGGACCTGACAAGGACACCTGTCCAGTCGTTCGGATGGCAGGAATTGCCATGCATGTAAAAGATCCCTATGCCCGTCTTCATTAGCCTAGAAGGAGCAGAACAGTGGGACGTTAATTAGATATCATTCCATTTTATTTCTATAAGTGCAACAGATAATTGTATAATATCAGGCAAATCTTTCAAATGTGGATACAAATAACAAAACCGGACAGGGGCGGCGACTTAATAACGCGGGCGTATGAAAATCTCGTCAATCTGATTAAAACAGGGGGGGGGGGTGGATGGCTGAATGGTTAGCGTGCCTGTCAAACCTCGTGGGTTTTCTCCGGGTCCTCCGGTTTCCTCCCACTGCTAAAGACCCCTACGCGCAAGCGAATTATTGAAATAAAATTAAACCATATGTTAGTCCCGAAATGACCTAGTTTGTGTCGAGCGGACGTGAAACCCTATTTCTCTCTCTCTCTCTGATTAAAACACAGATCCTATTTCTTTTCGTAATTAAAGAGTTGTTATCATTAACGTTTTCTGGATGGTGTTAGGTATTAGCCAATGAAACGGTCTGTTACGGCGAGCTTTAGGCGTGTTTTGCATGGAACTGTGGGTAATCCATTAGAAACATCAATGCTGATTGGTTAATCAAATGTCTGACATCATAGGGTCAAAAGCCGCTGGTATGACCTCTGACGCGACCTATCACTGCAATGGTCAGATCTTCATGTAATGTCGGCCATCGAAAGTATAAAAAAGCAAAACGAAATATATATCTGTATTTTAATCTGATTGCTCAATCGATCCAGCGGGTTCAATTCTAGGAAGAAATCAAAAGTCGAAAATTGACGCCATCTTGGAAAATGACGGCCATTTCAAAAGGTCAAGTGGCAGTCTCGGCTCCCAGAGATGCCAAATTGTTGAGAAACTGGGGGAGGAGCTTAGGAACTGAAATTGGACTGATTAATGGCCGAGAGAGAGAGATAAATGGGGTTTACCATCCACTCGACACAGACTTGGTCTTTTCGGGACTAACATATGGTGCAATTTTATTTCAATAATTCGCTTGCGCGCAGGGGTCTTTAACAGTGGGAGGACCGAGAGAAAACCCACGAGGTTGGACAGGCGACCCTACTCCTTGTCACGTACAACCGAGGATTCGAAACCCTGCCAGTTGACTCAATGACAGACCGTATGATACAGCGCACGTGCCACCCCTCCCCGCACACACATATAAATATTGGTTTTTGGGGGCCCGGACGGGATCTTGTTCCTCATGAAAAATCATGAGTCACTGGGGTGGGGTGAGTCAAGTGGGACCATGCATACAACCCATACCCCTCATCACCCCACTGTGCTCCCATGCCCCATCACCCCCCTGTGCTCCAATGCCCCCCATCACCTCAATGTGCTCTCATGTCCCCATCACCTCACTGTGCTCCCATGTCCCCATCACCTCACTGTGCTGCCATGCCCCCATCACCTTACTGTGCTCCCATGCCCCATCACCCCACTGTGCTCCCATGCCCCATCACCTCACTGTGCTCCCATGCCCCATCACCCCACTGTGCTCCCATGCCCCCATCACCTCACTGTGCTCCCATGCCCCATCACCTCACTGTGCTCCCGTGCCCCATCACCCCACTGTGCTCCCATGTCCCCATCACCCCAATGTGCTCCCATGTCCCCATCACTTCACTGTGCTCCCATGCCCCCATCACCCCACTGTGCTCCCATCTCTAGTAAAACAAGCCAACAGAGAGGCTGATGTCCCCCGCCGAAATCCCCAACTAAATAGATGACACATATTAATTAATCGCACATCTATTTTTTTCAAAAGTATCGAGCAATCAAACTGATTATCAACTAAAGCCTACACTAAGTTTCATCACTCTCTATCAGATAGAATCAAAGTTATCTTGTCCCAAAGCATCGACCAAGGAAATTGCTTATCTCTGCTTAGCTTTAGCTCGATAGGTTAATCATTGAACTCAGTCGAGATGAGCATCTACATAAAGTTTAAACATTCTACCTCAATTAGAAGGAGAGTTATGTTCGACAGTCTTGACCAATCAAAATGATTATTGCTCCTTAGCCTAAGCAGACAATTCTCATCATCGAACTTAGTCAAGGTATTGATGTAATGAAACTATACACCAAGTTTCTTCACTCTCACTTAATTAGAACTAAAGTTATCGTGTCCCAAAGCATCAACCAATCAAATTGCCTATCTCTACTTACCATAAGCAGAAAATGCTCATCTTCGCACTCTATCAAGGCATTGACCTCATAAACTCCTACACCAAGTTTGAACATTGAACTCAATTAGAAGGAGAGTTATTGTGTTCCAAAGCCTCGGCCAATCAAATTGCTTATCGCTCTTCTTACCCCGAGCAGAAAATGCTCAATATCGAACTTAGTCAAGGTATTGATGTAATGAAACTATACACCAAGTTTCATCACTCTCACTTAATTGGAACTAAAGTTATCGTGTCCCAAAGCATCAGCCAATCAAATTGCTTATCTCTGCTTACCCTAAGCAGAAAATGCTCATCTTCGAACTCCATCAATGCATTGACCTAATAAACACCTACACCAAGTTTGAACATTCTAGGTCAACTAGAAGGAGAGTTATTGTGTCCCAAAAAAGTGTGACGGACAGACAGACGGACGGACGGACGGACGGACAGACAGACGGACGAACCCATTTTAATAGTCCCCTGCTTTCTTCGAAAGGCGGGGGACAACAAAAATGTACCGTGGCTGCCATATTCCTGAAGCCCGAGAAATCCCTCTTTGGCCGATTACATCAAATCAAACGAAATGTTGCGAGGAGTAAGTGGGACTTGGCCTCACAGAACTCTCCACCATTAGCAGCCTTTCTCGCGACCTGTGGTATGTCACTAACCGGGCAGTACCCCATTTCAAAATCTGCTCCCCCACCTCATCTCCACACACCAGCTTAAGGAATTTGTGACGTGGTTTTACAGGAAAGAGAGAGAAATCCAATCGATTGATACAAACTAGGTCATTTCGGGACTAACATATGATTCAATTTTATGTCAATAATTTGCTTGCGCGTAGGGTTTTTTAGTAGTTGGAGGAAACCAAAGGACCCGGAGAAAACCCAGGCAACCCTACTCCTTGTCACCTACAAACTGGGAATCGAAACCATGCCAGTTGACTCAATAACAGACCTCATGATGCAACAGGAACACATTCAGGACGGATATGATTATGTTAAATGTTACAATAGCTGTACAGATCTGATTACGTCATTATAAACAATAGCCGTGGAGACATTGGCCAATAAACAAAGTTATAATTAACACCAGCACATGTATCCGCATACCAATGGTGAAGAGTTTCCCGGTAATACAATTTCACACTGATCACGATTCCATGCCCTCGGAGTAGGCCTATTAATAAAGGGAGTGGAAACTTTGATTAGAATTTGGATGTCGCGTTCTCCTCACAGAGAGAGAGAGAGAGAGAGGGGGGTTCTAGGCAAACTCGACACAAACTAGGTCATTTCGGGACTAACATGGATTAATTTGTATTTCAATAATTCGCTTCCGCGTAAGGGTCTTTAGTATGGCGGTATATTATATTCAAAATTCTAACATCCTATCGTCTAATTTCTAAATTCTATTCATGTAATTTTTAACTTCTATGTTTATGTTATTTCTAAATTAAGACAATATATAATCCAACTTCTTCATTTGTTCAGTGTAAATTTTAATTCTATTTCATCTTATTTCTATTATTATGACGAAAAATGTCTACTTTATTGTCACTTTACATGTTAATCATGAACGTCGAACAAATTTAGAATTTTGATACTTCTACGTAGCAACCATCATTATGACGTCGTTTGATGTCGCCACCGTGGGCTCAATTTGGCCATTGAGCGCCTGGTCTGGACCATTATATGTTGATACAAACGAGTCCTCTTCGTCAGGTTGAATAGTTTCGTGTAGTGTTAGAATTGAAAACAACATCGAACGTGATATGGTTTGCAGATACTATTTCAAATAATATTATAAGCTACAGCATTGTTCATTCATTTTTTTAAGACAAGTGCAGGATTTGGAGAATTTTATTTAATTTTTTTTACAGTTAAGCCAATTAATATTTATATACTGTTGGTCTATATTCTTTTACTGTTCTAAAAAAAATGTCTCTTTATACCGTCCGAACGACTAGTCATTGTGCGTTCCAGGCCCCCGTCCTGTATCCAGGGGGGGGGGGGGGGGTCATCCCCCCCCCATATATCTGGTCTGCCCTCTGTTTGCCCCCCCCCCACCCCAATAATTTTAGAAAATAAAAAAAAGTATTTGTGATACGTTTCGGTAATCAATACCTTCTACGGTGAATAAATCCCACAACCCCACTCAGTCATAAACTTGCATGTTGTAGAGCATTTCCAGCAGTCTATTTTTAAAATTTTCTGGCGGAGGACTCCCTACTTTGACGCTCGTGAGTGGGCTTCGTCGTGGTTCGCAAGTCCGTTCGTTTGACACTTTACCTCATTGATCAGTGCCTGAAATACTGCAAGGCTGCATTTCCGGCAACCTGTTTTTCAAAATTTTCTGGGGGAGGCCCCCTACCCCTAGTTGAAGCTCGTGCCTTGCCCCCTTAACCTTGGACTTTGCCCCAGCTCTTCCCCTCCAATCATCGACGGCTGGCGCCGCCACTGCCTGTATCAATAACAAGGAAGGGAGAACCATGCCAGAAGATATCGGTTATATCATAGAAATATATGGGTTATATAACATCGTCAGCTAGTAGGCCTATACACACGGGCAAAACTAATCTTTATAATATTTCTGACATTAGTTCCGTTCCTGTGATGAACTGGGGGCGTGGTGACCGCTAATATGGTATGAGGAACAAATTAGGCCTATCTCTTTCGCAGGGGTTGGGTAGAAAATAGGTCTATCTATGTAGTTAGGGTGGGGTGAAAATTGGGCCTATTTATGTCGTTAAATTATGTTCTTTAAATTATATTTCATCAATGTATTAACTATGTTTACACGCCCTCAGGGCTGAGAATGTTCAAACGGGTAAAGATTTCTGTTCGGTTAACATGTCAAAGTGTCCCAAATGCGTTCTTGTTTCTGGTGATCTGAGTCTCATTCTGATCTCACGGTGTTCACATGGTAACCGGTCAGAAGATCTTTTCTGCACCAGAATTTCAACATTTTTCTCGGTGAGAGAGAGAGAGAGAGAGAGAGAGAGAGAGAGAGAGAAATGGGGTTTAACGTCCACTCGACACAATTTTCTCGGTGAAGGATTACGACTGAGAGAACACCACTTACCCTGCCTCTCGGACGTTCAGGTACCAATCGTTGTTTCTAAGAACATCATTACTGTAAGAGAACACCCCCTATCCTGTCTCTCGGTCGTTAATGTACCAATTGTTTCTAAGAACATTCTCAACAAGGATGAAACTTTATTTGGCTGTGAATCGTTCATAACATCCCGCCCTTTCCATGGAAATCCTGTTTGGTGTTTTTCTCGTATGGCGGGAAACGTGGGTCAAACAATAGATAGACAGATAGCTGGGTATATAAAGACATACAGTTCCGCATATAGATATTCAGTTCATTTACAGATTGAATTAATAAATAACCAACGATGGATACAAGATTAATTCTCTTATTGGTTGTTATAGGTACGTACATCATTTAATATATATTGAACTCCTTCAATTTGGAGTCAGGGCTGTCTAGTCGTTCGGATGGGACGAAAAATCGAGGTCCCGTGTACACATTGGCGTGCACGTAAAAGATCCCTTAACAGTTGGAATTCGATATAAGAGTAGGCCGTAGCGCCGCTGCCCGGGCAAAATTTCCCTCATAGCACACTGTATGACGTATGCCCGTCTTCATTAGCCCAGTTTAGGGCCGAACAGTAGGACGTTAAACCCCATTTCATTTCATTTCAATTTGGAGTCGCGGTGGTTCAGTGTGTGAGGGAATTAAATGAAATGGGGTTTAACGTCCTACTCTTCTGCTCCGTTGGGCTAATGAAGTCCGACTTACGCCATAAAGTGTGCTTTGAAGGATATTTTGCCCTGATAGCGACGCTACGGCTTACTCTTATATTGAATTCCAACTGCCAAGGGACCTTTTACGTTCACACCAATGTTTACATGGGGCCTCGGTTTTTCGACCCATCCGAACGACTACACATTGTCCTTGCCAGACCCTCTGTCCTGCTCCTCTGACAAGGGGAGGCGGGGAGAGAGGTAGGGGATCCGGAAAGTTAGCGTGTAAAGAATTCCCGGTGTAAGATGATGAGTCCGACAAGGAATCGCGTTTAGTCGTTCAGATCGGACGGCAAAGCGAGACCCCCTACACACATGTTTTAAAACGAAGCCTTGAGAGAGGGAGAGAGAGAGGGGGGGGGGGGGGTAACGTCCACTCGACACAAACCCGGTCATTTCGGGAATAATATGTGGTTGAATTTTATTTTAATAATGCGCTTGCATGTAGGGGTTTTTAGTAGTGGGAGGAAACCGGGGGATCCGGAGAAAACCCACGAGGATGGACAGACGACCATACTCCTTGTCACGTACAACTGGGGAATCGAAACTACGCCAGTTGAATCAATGGCAAACCTTATGATACAACGCGTACGCGCTAACCATTTGGCCATCCAACCCCCCACGAAGCCTTGAAAGTTTACATTTGAATTAAGAGTAGGCTGTAGCGCAGGTATCAAGGCCCACTGCATGGCGTATGTCCGTCTTCAATATTCCACTTGGTGCATGACAAGGACAGCTGTCTAGTCATTCGGATGAGACGAAAAACCGAGGTCCCGTGTACACATTGGCGTGGACGTAAAAGATCCCCTGACAGTTGGAATTCGATATAAGAGTAGGCCGTAGTGCCGCTGTCCGGGCAAAATTTCCCTCATAGCACACTGTATGGCGTATACCCGTCTTCATTAGCCCAGTTCGGAGCAGAACAGTAGGACGTTAAACCCTATTTCATTTCATTTCCACTTGGTGCACCCCATAGCAATTCATGTTTAATTTCTGAGACTAACATATTGTTATGTCGTATCCGTTTATTAGGGTATTCGAGTGTGTTCTGTATCTGGGGCCTGTTTCACAAAATTTTAACTAAGATAAAATCCAAATTTTAGTAATTTGATTGGATAATATTACATTGATTTTAGTGCTTAGCCAATCAAAATTGAAGTATCTATACTAAAATTTGGATTTTATCTTTAGTTAAAATTTCGTGAAACGGGCCCCTGTTTATTAGAGTGTGTTTTGTATCTAGTGAAATTTTGTATCTGTTTCTTTAGTTTTAGAATTTTGCTAGAAATTTACACCATACATATAACAAACCAATAAATAATTGGAATTTGTTCGAATAACAAGTGAGTGTATGAATGATGAGTGAGTGTATGAATGACAAGTGAGTGTCTGAAGGGTTTTTGAGAGAGAGAAACTAGGTCATTTCGGGACTAATATATGGTTCAACGTTATTTCAATAATGAATAGGCGCAGGGGCCTTTAGGAGTGAGAGGAAACCGGAAAAGTTGGACAGGCGACCCTATTCCTCGTCACTTGCAAGCGGATCGTCACTTGACTCAATGACAAACCTTACAATCTCAAGCGCACGCGTCAAACCTCTTCCGCCCCACCCCCTATTCCACCCCGCCCCCTATTCCGCCCCCACCCCCTAACACACACACACGTCCCTGAATGTTCTTTGAGTTTATTGTTCTGACTGCAGTAGAATTCGCAAGCTAAAAGGTATTTTACATGGAACAAAAAAAGGAACCTTGGAAGTTATATATTATATAAAATAATATTTATTTCCGCGACAGTTGGAATCCGAAAAAAATTAAATGTTCTTAATTTTTAGGCTGTAGCACCCTTTTTGTTCTCTTACAGGGTTAAATGTTTCTGATGCAACATGGGCCAGGATGTCAAGCAGAAATAGATATTATCGTCCACTGTCAGACAGCAGACCAACATCGCTAAACAGTAGACCGACATCGTCAAACAGTAGACCTAATTTAATACATGGTACATCACTTGTGTCACATCGTAGACCTGCTTCATCACATACACCTACTTTATCACATCGTAGACCAATTTCGTCACATCGTAGACGAATCTTCATTACCAGGAAGCGGGTTTATGTGAATAAAATATGTAAGTCTAAGAGAGTACAGAAATGTGTTACTGCCAACGCCGAGTTTATACCATTAGTTTACGGTCGCGGTAAATATACATTTGTTAGACCTGCTAACAAAAACATTCCTTCCCGACATTTTTTAAATAAACTGAAGAAATTGTGTATTCGATGTCCTTACCTCTGCTATTCAGTCATGGTAAACAAGACTACTACACAAACAACGCTGCCTACTACGACAACAGCCCCAACAACGACAACATTGCGTACTACGTCAACAGAACCAACCACAACAACATTGCGTACTACAACAACAGAACCAACAACAACACTGCGTACTACGTCAACAGAACCAACCACAACAACATTGCGTACTACAACAACAGAACCAACAACAACACTGCGTACTACGTCAACAGAACCAACAACGACAACACTGCGTACTACGTCAACAGAACCAACGACAACACTGCGTACAACGCCAACTACAACAGAGCCATTCATGCCAATAGTTCCAGACGCTCAGTGATGTCATTTGTAATTTTGTTTAGGCTATATATAGCCTGTATGTTTGTTTGTTTTATTCATAAATAATTTTTGTTGCCATTTTTAGAACCCGTTACGTTGACATGGTAACCCTACGATAACAACATGAACAATTTATAATAAAAACATCATTTCTTATACAATGTAGTGATAAATAAACCCACTGGGTCATAATCCTGGACTGTATTTTTTTTTTTTTTTTTTAGTTACAGAACCGTCTTCAATCTGATTAAAATAATACAGATCTATATTTCGTTTCGTTTTTTTTATACTTTCGATGACCTACACCACATGAAGATCTGACCGATTGTAGTGATAGGTCGCGTCAGACGTCATACAAGCGGCTTTTGGCCCTATGACGTCAGACATTGATTAATCAACCAGCGTTGACGTTTCTAGTGGTTTACCCACTGCTCCATGCAGAGCACGCTAAGAACTCGCCGTAACAGACCGCTTCATTGGCTTTTCCCTCACATTAACCAGACCGCGGCTTATATAACAACTCTTCCAGATCCTAGTGTAGTGAAGACAAATAAAACGAAATTTTGTACTATAAAACACGAAACGAAATAGGATCTGTGTTTTAATGAGATTGACATTACTTTTCTGGAAAAAAACTTGGTCTCATAAATTCTCTTATTGGGTGGGGTGTGGCGGTGCACCTTTAGGCAAATTATAAGGCACTATATATTGTCGGTCAAAAGGAAATTGAAATTGCGTGGGGTTTGGGGTACCTTTATACAAAATATAAGATAAAATTTATTCTCGGTCATTTGTCATTGATAGTTCCGGGAGCAAATTTTACACCATCCTCTGTACCTACGCTACAGATTAAATCCAGATAGTATTGACACGTAGAAATGTGTTCTTAATTGGAACCTGATTTCTTGCAGAATAGAATGCGATACCAAAGATGACATTATAGCCCACATGTTACCAGCTGTTCTAGTGACGTGTATTTGTTCCGGGTTCATAGGGTTATTATGACGTCAGGGGTGGTATCGGACTTGGCCAGCATGTGTATAAGGTTATATAAATATAAAACATTTTAAAGGGGCTTTTGTTTTATTATTTTATCAAATAATAGAAAATTTTAGCTGTGTGTTAAACGTAGTGTGGTGACGAAATATCGAGGCCCCGGGTACACATTGGCTTGCACGTAAAAGATCCCCGGTTAGCTGAAATTCGATATAAGAGTAGTCCCTATGCCCGTCCTTATTAGCCCAGACGGAACAGAACACTCAGTGAGAAAGACACTGGCTCATTAAACTTGTTATCCAGGCCATGTCTAAATATTAAGGCCAGCAGCAGATTGTGCGTCAGGGTTTGGGTTAGGGCTAGCGCAGGCCCTGTTTATATCCAGGGACCATTAGTGAAATCTGCAGTTGGACTTGATATTTAGACCTAACCCATAAGTCATGCAATGAGTTATGGGACCCATTTTGTCCGGACAGTTGTTTTACGTTCACACCACGTCGGGGCCGGGTGATGCACATTAAACCCCATTTCATTTGATTTCTTTTCTCTGGTATTTCACCCTTCCAATTTATATTTGTGCCAGGAATCGTACCAGCCTAATTCATTTACAACGAGAGAGAGAGAGAGAGAGAGAGGGAGGGAGAGAAAGAAATGGGGTTTAACGTCCACTCGACACAAACTAGGTCATTTCGGGACCAACATATGGTTCAATTTTATTTCAAAAATTCGCTTGCGCACAGGGGTCTTTAACAGTGGAACGAAACCGGGGGACCCAGAGAAAACCCACAGAGTTGGACAGGCGATCTTACTCCTTGTCACGTATAACCGGGGAATCGAAACCACGCCAGCTGGCTCAATGACAGATCTTGAGATACAGGGCGCACACGCTATCCATTCGACCCCCACCCCATCCACATCCCCACCCTTTTCATTGACAACTAATAGAGTAATATGTGCCAATAATCGTGGGCAGCACATTACTGAAATTTAAAAGTTTAAAAAGAGGTTGATGTTTGTTTAATATTTACAGTCAGACGGAATGGCGCTTGTATTATTTGTATTATTACTGTGGTACTCTGTTATGTCGAATCTAGTTGCTTGGTAATTGTTAAAGGGGGTGTATCAACAAAAATGAATGAAATGAAATGTGGTTTAACGTCCAACTGTTCTGCTCCGATTGGGCCAATAAAGACCGGTGTATCTAAAAGTCGCATGTCCAACCTCGTGGGTTTTTTCCGGGTCCTTCGGTTTTCTCTCACTGCTAAAGACCCTACGCGCAAGCGAATTAATGCAATAAAATTGAACCATATGTTAGTTTCGAAATGACCTAGTTTGTGTCAAGGAGACGTTAAAACCCATTTCTCTCTCTTTCTCTCTCTGAATCTAAAAAGTAATACATATGTGGGTGGGGTAGGTGTGGGGGTATGAAAGGCGCGTGACGTAATGTAAAATGCCCTATATCCGTCAGCGCCATCTTTGAATGGGTTCACACAACACAACACAAATCAAATCATACCGAGACTAAGATATGGTGAAATTGTATTTCAATAATTCTATTATGACAGGACGATTTACTACCCAATACTAACACTATACTGTTAACAACCCTTTTTGTAGGATTCCGAGAATTAACCCATTAATTGAAGTATTCTGTCGGTTATCTATCAATCTGATTAAAACACTGATCCTATTTCGTTTCGTTTTTTATAGTTCAAAATTTCATTTTACTTGTCTTTACTACTCTAGGATCTGGAAGAGTTGTTATTTCCCCTGCGTTCTGGATAACGTGAGGGATTAGTCAATGAAACCATCTGTTACGGCGACTTCTTGGCGTGCGATGCACGTAACTGTGGGTAAACCACTAGAAACGTCAATGCTGATTGATTAATCAATGTCTGACGTTATAGGGTCAAAAGCCGTTCGTACGACGTCTGACGCGACCTTTTACTGCAACCGGTCAGTGTACGACATCGAAAGTATAAACAAAAAACGAAATGAAATATAGATTTGTATTTTAATCCGATTGGTTATCTATCTATACTCTTCAAAAAAAGTAGGAGATATTCATCAACCCTTGTTTGGATATTCATCAACCCTTGCTTGGAAGTGTCAAATTTGATAATGAACCCCTCTCACGTGTATGGCGCTATTGCGTGTCGCATGTGCAGCTCAGTGGTTCTGTTGGAGCGATATCTTCTTCATACTCTCAAAGCATGTCAAGTGTGCATGACTATTTATCATATCACAACCTGCAGAGGTATTTGCATTTCAATATCACCTACTATTTTTGAAGAGTATATATAAATAAAATCAAAGATGTCGTTGTGTATGTACATGTATGTTCGCCCATCAGGCTTCGTGGCCGCGATCCATCCCCACATACGTGGTATTAAATTAATCAGCATGGCCCTCGTGAATGTTTTGGGCCATGATTCTGTTCAATTTGGGACACGGGCGAAGGCGGGTATCCTACCTAATGCACAATAATAGGGTAGCATGTGAGAGTTTAACGTCCGTCGGAGGAAACCCACGATTTTGCATAGGTGACCCTTCTTCATGTCACGTACAAGTAGGGAATCAAAACCACAGCACTTGACTCAATGACAGGCGACCCTACTCCTTGACCCTAATCAAAACCACACCACTCGACTCAATAACAGACCGTATGATCTAACGCGCACACATTAACCCATTCGTCATCACCCACCCCCCAGTATTGGATCAATCGGCCTGTCCCAACTATTCTAATAAATCTAAAACACAATATACCATGATTTGATAGCGTGTTTCTTTAAACGTCCACGTGTTTGTTATCAGCAATATAATGTAGATCATACTAATGATGTAGGAGTAGGTGACCTTTACAATGTCTTTTGTAAAAACAAAACAAATTCAACACTCTTCAAAATACAAACTAGAAAATACTAGTACCACATACAAATGAAATGAAATGGGTTTAACGTCCTACTGTTCTGCTCCGACTGGGCTAATATGTTATACTGCGGTCTATTTTGATATAAAGACCAACAGTCATTACAAGTTATATTACGTTATAAAGACTAGCCATCATTACAAGTTATATTACAGTATATTTTAATATAAAGACCAACCATTATTAAAAGTTATATTATAAAGACCAACCATCATTACAAGTTATATTACCGTATATTTTAATATAAAGACCAACCATTATTACAAGTTATATTATAAAGACCAACCATCATTACAAGTTATATTACGATATATTATAATATGTTTGTATTCATTCTGTAAAATGGGGATCTGTCGGTGGCACACTAACCAAGTGGTCCATTCTGCACACAGACATATATCTACTTCGAGTATAGATCTCTGCCCTAAATGGCCGCCATATCCAAACATTAGTATACTATTTTGTTACGTGGTTCTACTCAGTTCATATCTGCCATAAACACCAAGACTAAATAAACTTAAATTAAATTGAAGCGGAATAAATATTTCTAAAAATTATCCAAGTCAACTTAGAGTTTTGGACTAAAATCGTCGATTTAGGACTTAAAATGTCGGTCAAATAGCTTAGTGTCTGTTCTCAAACGGAGCTAACTGTAGACAGAGAGTCTAAGTTTAGTATGCAGGAGGTCCCGGGAGTAGTCTAGTGGTTGGCTGAGCAAGTTCCCCTTCTCAAGGGAGGAGCTGGTAAGGAAGGGTGTCTAGTCGATAGAATGGGACGAGAAGAAAGCCGGAAACATCGTGTCACATTTTGGTCAAGAGAAATGAAATGAAATGAAATGGGGTTTAACGTCCTACTGTTCTGCTCCTAAACTGGGCTAATGAAGACGGGCATACGCCATACAGTGTGCTATGAGGGAAATTTTGCCCGGACAGCGGCGATACGGCCTACTCTTATATCGAATTCCAACTGCCAAGGGATCTTGTATCGAAACTTTGGCCGGTACTCCTGGTGTGGAGATGGGCCATTCGGGTTTTCTCCTAAACGACTAAGCCCATATCTATCAATCTTTCGGGCGTTACACAGGCGTTAGCCCTGACAAATCTTCTCGGCTCTCACCGTGTTTCGATTTCATTGGCTTAACCGAATCGAGGCCATGGTGGCTCGATGAGAAAGGCGTTGGCTCGCTAGCCCGGAGGTCCTATGTTCGATCTCTGCCTTAGCCGAGAAAGTTCAGCGGGATTTTCCGGCGTGGTTGCACATTCTCAGGAC